TCATCTGCTAATGCGATACCACGAGAATTTTGGAATTGCAGTTGCAATTACGATTGCCACCGAATTCGGAGTTGCGGTTGAAAAGTAGAACATACTTCGGTGTTGCAGTAACGGTAGTGGCTCGAATTGCAAGTGCAATAATAATTGCAAGTGAACTCGTAGTTGTTTGGAAGTCCAGCTGAAACTGAGTTAAGAACTAAAATTGGAAGTGCGATCACGATTGGATTCGCGAATGAACATGTTCCAGTGGCGAATACTTATCCTATGAAACGCAATCACACCTCACGACATTACAAAATGTAAATTTACAATGTCGAACATTGTAAAATGTTCTGAATGGTGTTATATCGATACAGAATATGCCGGTATAAACAGAAACATATGTATAATTGTGGGATTTGTACGAAATAAATTGTTTTGTGTCTTCGATGGTCACAAATTATTATGATTTCTTTTATATGTTTTTAATTTTATTATATAATATTAACGCTAAATATACAAAGAGATTCTTAAAATATTATTCAGTTATTATTTAGATTTATTTGTATAATATAACGTTTTATAGTTTCATCGTGGAATGTATGGCACTACTAGTACGATTTGTAGCAAATCAATACATCGATGTTACGCTCGCAAACGCATTAATAATTACATCCCGCTATTTTCGTTCCCACTAAACGTCACGTTTAATTTGCCGTATAATACCCAGGTTTAACATGCGAATTCGTGCAATTTCACCGTCGGCACGGAACAATAGGATAGCCTGGTCTGGTAAAATCCCACGCAAGGCCAACGATTATCCATCTTTCCAATTTGCGTGAATAGCACTCCTGTCACTGTCGATAAATCAATACCCTCTAATTGCCGCGAGTACGCTAACAATACATACTTCCATCGTAATGAAACGCAATCCTTCGAAATGATTCTCTGATTTGCAAGAGGAATTAATTATAAGATATTTCAAACGCTTCCTCAACTTCTACAAAATTAATTACTAATTATATACATTATCTCTTCCTAAGCAATATTGACGGATACGAAATAATGGCGGCAGTAACATGTATAAGGAAATGTTACTCAAAATAGTGTCCTCGACAAAATGTTTAAAGGCCACCGAAATCAATGAGGAATTGCTAACACATAAATAATTACAGATCCTTTCGCGATTTCCACTTCAAATTCACCTAGCAGTGTGTTATTCATAATCTCGTCTTACACGGCTGTAACAAATTACAATATAGTCACAGAAAAAATGAAAACTTTTGCAGGATTTAAACCACGAAGTTTTTTTTTACCCGTCCAGGAATTAAGAAATGTGATCTGCACAGTTTTAATATATTACGGCTGAGAACCTCTATTCATTACATAGAGTGCCGCAATAATTCTTGCCGCCTGGTCCATAAGCTGCACGGTTGCTGACGACAAGAATCATTGGCGCAGGATAAAAACAGTTTCAATAAATCGTTGCCGTTTTGTAACATAAGGTAGCAGGCGAGACTTGGCGAGAATCATTCGAGCAAGCATTGTATATGCTCTTGTCGAGCATTGCATGCAATAAGAAGAAAGAGGAACCGGGAGATATAACCGGTGTGCGGAACAACATGGCAGAGCCGGCCAATATAATATAGCAACAGTGAGGCAAAGAATAGAGAAGAATGTAGATAATGGTGGGGAGATTGAAAGAGAGAGGAAGAACGCAATAAGACGGAAGTATAAAAAGAAGAAAAGAGAGATGATCATAACAGAGCACAGGTTAGAAGAAGAAGGGGAAAAAGTAGTGTAACCACTGAGGGAGAGACGTATGCGAATGTGTGTTTGTGCAGCCGTGCAGCTCGTCCTTGGACTTATATAACAAGGAAGAGTCTACCAGGGGAAAAAAGTATCCCAGAACGGAACAAAAGATAAAAAGGGTAGATTAAAAATGAGAGATAGAAAACTACAGCACGAGGGCGCCCTCTAAGGACAAAGAAATTCGAAGAATTTGGTAATGCCTGCTGCGAAACAATATTATCAAGTAGTGCCAATAAAAGAAACTGTTCTCTCCTCTCTCAGCTGTAAGACGTATGAATAAAGTATCTTCAATAATTATGCGCATTACGGTCTACTCAGTTTCTTTAATAATTAACATTTCAAACCAACATATTTATAAACCGAACTCTTTACTTATCCACATATAAGACAATAGAAAACATCTCTTTCGCTCGATAAATTTCGTAGATAAAAAAATATTATAAAAAGAAAATTCCATTAACACTTTGCAACATCAAAACACACGCATAAACAACTATGGGTACAATACAGTTAAAAAGTTCATCCCCCACCGGTATGATATAACAGTTGCAAATTATTTGGTTGATTCGACATTAACAGAAAATAGAAACAATATAGCGGCATGGTACGACTCCATAGAGGTCCATGCGCAGATCGTAAGGGTTGAACACAGTGACGTAGAGGGAGAGGGGTTAATTCCCGGTGACTTGAGGTAGGACGTGCACGAATAGTCGACAGGTGTCGCCACGTTGCAACACATGCTCGACTCGGTCAAGCAATAATAATTCTCACGTGTCTCTGTCAAGCGGTACCGTGGCTTCAATTCACTGTACGCGAGACATTATCTAGGTTAAAGACACGCCGTTACACTATTGCGTAACGCCGAACGTAGTCCTCCGAGCAAGCAAATTTCTTAAACGTCAAAGAAAAAATCAAAAACACATGTACATCCGCTTTTGGCAAACCTACCTACTACTGACACACACAACCACTCCAAAAAGAACTTCATGAGCCTATTAAAAGACCACGAATTACACGTTCTTCTATGCTCTGTCAAGTATATATAGATATATTATACACATATATTATATGTATATATATATATATATATATATATATATATATATATATATATATATATATATATAT